CTGTGCAGGACTGGCCGGGCGGCGCGCGGGCGGAGGAGGGAGGCCTTTCTTCACCAATCACAGACTTCGTATTCCACAGCTCTGGTATTCTCCAACATTGCCACATCTCTTCACCGTGCATCCCGACACACAACTACCTTCGCGTCTATTATAAGATAAGAATGTGTTCACACAAGAGGTCGTGTTTATAAACGCAATTATACAGAGGAGGAGGGAACGAGAAAGTAAGTGGAGATTTCTTGCATGGCGTGGGCCGCGTGTCGGGGCCCACAGACCGCTGGATCTGCCCCCGGAGACGCGGTGCTCCCTGGCGTCGATCGCTAAAAGCTAGATCGCCGCTCCGGTGTACCTGATTCGACAAAAGGTACAGTTTCGGGAGGGCGGCGGCGGCGATGCGGAAGGCGACGGGGTTCGCGGCGCGAATCTTCCGTCCTGATCGCCGGCGCCGAGCGGCAACACCTCCCTTCTATTATTTGGGAATGGGTTTCGCAGATTTTTTCTACCCGGTTCGCCGCTCGTAGCTGCCCGAGCTCCCCGTTCTCCCCGCCCTTCCTACTGTATCCCCGCCTTGTTCGCCAACCGCCGTACCCATGGCCCTCATCGTCGTTCGTCGTTGTCCATCTACGCGAGCCCTGTGCACCGTCGGACGCAGACCGCCGAGGACGGGCCGTCGCCAAGAGATCAATCGCTTGTTTTTAACTTGTTTAGACCGAGGGATAGTCGTAGCAACAACACAAGCGCAGGTCCGGCGCCGGAGCGCGTGTGTGCTGCAGTGTACTTCCAACGCACCGGCGCCTCCGCGCCTTCTACTCCATAAAAGAATGACAAGAGCATTGACCCGCGCGGAATGTTTTCAAAACACATAAGAATGCGTTCGTCTCATTGACGGCGGGGCCAGAGCAAGCAGCGCCCCCGCCGCCCCCTGCCCTCCCACCACACCGACCCACACCGGGCGGGCGACGGCCCGCCCCCGGCCACCTTACGTAATGAGAAGATATGTTCGCGTGTGCGCTAGGGCTCTTCCAGGGGCGGGGGCCGCGAGGGACCGTGAACCGCGCATTGAAATCTCCGGGAGGAATGCGACTGGCGCACTCAACCGTTAAAACAGGTGGACCGCGCGATCTAGCAGCGGCGAGCGGAACCTGGTCGGCCGCTGCTACCGTGGCTGGCTCTTTCTGAGGCGCGGGACCAGGGTGGGAGCGGGGCGGAGGCAGGGAGCTCTGAACAATTATCGTGTCACTGTCCAAGTGCGCTGGCCATCCGTGCCCCTGCGAGTTTTCTATAGAGAGCCAACGAACTTCGTTCTGCTTCGTTTTCGTGGGGACAGCGGGAAACCACTTACTACATACAACACGCGAAGGCACTCATGTGATTCATCTTAAAACAAAAGAGAAGAGTTACAATCCCAGTACTTTAACAATACGAGTCATATATCGCACGCTAATTATATACGCATTTAATGGATTTCTCTTTTTTAGAGGAACAGTGTATTCATCAGCTGTCTGCCTCAACAGTCTCCTACCTTCATTTGCCCCCCTTACGAACGTCATATTGAGAAAATTAACTGTAAATTATATACAGCTATAATTGTTGGTCTACAACAATTTTTTTTAATATTTGCGATATATAATCAATTTTGCTTCTCAGCAGCGAAACAAAGTAGTTTTCTACTGAACAGTCATAGTGCTGTCTTATTTCCGGTCTCTGAGGAACCAGTGTTTGTTGCGGTCCATTTCTTCCTACATGGCATTAACCGATGTTTATGTAACAAACGAACGTGTTCGACGATTACCACTGGCAATTACGAAACACCTATGATTGTGGTGAGCCGAGGAGTAAGGCAGTGGCGAACGTGATGGCGAAGCAAAAACACGAATGTGGCTGAAAGGGACGCGGAGAGGAGGTGGAGTTAAGATCGCATTCCTGGAATATCAGGCAGGAATACATTATCCCAGCGCACCTCGTAAAAGGAAGGACGATTCTCTAGTAGAAGATTCGTATAATGTTACATTCTTGGTTTTCGTGATTTTGAAAAAATGCCTTTAAAAATTTTTCGTGCCTTGAGAAAATATACCGTGTTTACTAGTTTTCATGTGCTTGGGTAATTATTTTAGTCTATAACTATAATTCGTCCATAATAAAACATCAAGAAACATTTTACTTGAGTAGTCAGTTCTGTCGAACTGACGCACCTCTAGTCTCCTTCTTTTGGAGTTTCGTTATTGATATTATTGTTTGATTTAATGTGCTATTGCTTGCTAATATCATATGCTACTGCGATTTAACATTATTTGCTTACAATTTTGTATTCCAAGGATTGATATTATACTCAATGATGACTACAATCGAAATTTATTGTTATAATATATAGGAGTTTTTATTATTTCTAGGCAGGTCCAAACTTTGTACATATTGCTTTCGGAATTCATTCTTTGTTTATTTTCTCACCACAATTACAAACTCCGTCATAATTTTCTTTCCCTTAGCCTTTTTTATGACACGAGATTATAACCTTGTAATTTTGCGACGAAAAGGGTGATTAAATAAAATTTTAAACTTCCGAACGTCACCATTCGGTATTCCCGAAAATCTAATTTAACGGAATCTTCAATATATATTTTCTCATCAGTATATAGTACAACTTACATTGTTAGCCAATGTAAGCATAATGCCTGTAAAGTTAAGATATTCTGCCATCAAGTTGCGATACGTAATTGCATAATTAATAACAAATCTATATCAACATTATGGCAATTGATATGACATAAAAATTCTCCAATAGCAAATGTTAGATACCTAATTAATTATAGAAATTCACTATACATTTCTATCTTGTATTGCCTATTCCTTGGACTGATATTGCCAATAAAGAGAAGCAGTCTTGTTCAATATCCTCCGGAACATAAAGTCAAATGAAAATATTGCAGAAGTATTCCGTCAAGTGGAATAGACAAACAGCCACAGTTACCGGAAGCGCACGGCGTCATCCACGCAAAATCTAAACCATAACATTTACAATTAATATAGAACCGATACAAACATTGAACAATGTCGTCTACGTGTTTATTTTTTATGAAAATCAGACAGTAACATTGGTCTTCAGCTACGTTCCGGTGGGTGTAAAAATTCTATTTTCATCAGCGTTTCCCTTTTCGGGAAGTCAATTTTTACTATGCCAAATAATTTCAATAAAAGCACAATTGTTAATTATTTATTTAGAAAACTTCCTAGAAGACCATATTTTGAGAGTAAGTTTTAACATAATTTGAATAATTTCTCACGTCTTTATTGTTTTTGATATAGAAAATAACTATTTTTTAATTAATCAGTTCCATGTAATATCTGATATACTATAGTCGCTGTGTCTTTGAACTGTGACAATTAAAATACATATGCCATGCTGATGTCTAAAGCCATAAACTTGGGCTTAACTTCTGCCAGTTGAAGGTTCTTCTCAAATGTTCGTACTTTCTCTGAGATATGTTCACGCTCGATTATTTTGTTTCCAACTGCTATTATGATTGGTCCCGGAAGTATAGTGTCTGTTTTATGACAGGCGGTGACGGTAATCTTTCCCCTCTAGAGGATGCGCTCTGCCTCCGATCTACTCGTTGGCTTGCGGGGTTTTCCTCCACCAAAATCTGCAACCGTCGGGACTCGGCTCCAAGAACGTCTCCCTGAGTCACCTCAGCCGG